ATTGTGTACTCTGTGTTAACCACCGAGGTTCACTTTCTTTACCTCCGTATTAGGCCCAATCCCTCCGTGTTGTGCTTTATCGCTTAATTTGTGTGCATTGTGAACTTGGAAGCGATCAATGAAGTTCGCTTTACTGTATCTCGTTTGATGATGATGATCATTTCATGGGAGTGGAATTATCACCACGAAAGCGAGTTGAATTTAGTACATACTGTGTTCTACTAGGTTTCATTTGGATCATCATTAGCGTGGTTTACAAGCAAGTTGTCTAGACTGTTTTATAATCAGGTAAACGTTTCTGCATGGTCTGTACAGGCTCCCCTATTGGAGCGAAATTCCCATTTGGTTTACAAGTGCATCATGATGATGTGTATGCGCTTTACCACGTAGTTCGTATAGGAATCTACTTTTGCGATCGATTAACGTTGNTGTACTCAGCATTGGTAAAACGCTGCGGTTGCTTCATTTATTTCCTATCTCACTTATTGTTTTACGATGACTAGTTCCCCTGTTTCCGGCAACCAAAAACTAATGGAAAACCTGATACCGTGGGTGTTTGGTGAACGCGGTCAATTACGTGTGGCCGACGTTAAACACCACCGAGTCAATGAGGAGATCGCTCCGAGTCAATATACAATCTTGGATGAAGTGTACTACTCCATAAAGATCGAGACGAAGAACGACAATGGGCAATGGGTCCCATTTGATGCAGATGATGTTCAACTGGAGTTCGTTCGAATTGATCCATTCATACGTCGTACCATGAAGCACAAGAGTAAGTGAATTTATAGCTAGTGTGAAATCCTAATAAGAGAGGCACTACCATAACGTAACTCAGTATAAAGACTGATAAGAATTTGTGATTAGAATACTGACGAATGCTGTTCAGACTACTTGTTTGTTATTAACTAAAAAATCAGGTAAATATCACCATACGGTAAAATCTAACCGCCATCAGCATGCGAGTTTTCGGGGTGATTATCATATACCTGCAATTTTTAAGGAATGTCAGTGTTTCTGTATGTTCAATAATAATAATAAATACGTGTATTTCACGTCTGAGTCTAAATTGTATACTAAACAAATATTAGCACAATAATCTTCGTACGAAAGAAAAATTTCCAAGAACTCCTCGTGGTCGGAACTGCTAGGTGTCCTAGGACGAAGCAGATGACTTTTCTTGGGGTAGTAGGAACTGCATGTTCGACTAGTCAGAGTCTGACTCGCAGCGTAGTGTTCGGCCTGTTTTACTTGTCTGTGGAATGCTGCTAGACTACCCTAACTAGCACAGGTGATTTTATTTTGGGTATTCTCAACCGAAGCCTTCGATTGAATGAAGCGGTATGTAAAGTCCTCATTCCATTAGAATCCATTCAATCGGATCATTCACTGCTCGGGTGTTGTCCAGGTCCATTATGCCCTGCTTAGTGGCTGGACACCCCAGCAGTACCCGTCCATCAAACCCTAGTGCATATGCATTGCGAGTTTGCAGCGATCAGTGAATTTCGCTTCTCTGTATTTTGCTGTACGATAATGATGATGACAATTATGCCCCATACGGTCTGTTCCCCTAAAAACCGGTAACAATCGAAACTACGACGTTTCGGAGCCTGTTTCTTTGCCTCATTTGACCTGGCTTGGAATCAGGGTTTTCAAGGTATTCTAGATGAGCCAGCTGCATATGATTTTTGATAAAACTTCCTCTGGAGGTGTTTTAAGAGACACTTTTTAAGGGGCCTTTTAGTGGAAGGAATCTCCTGTGGTGCGAGCCCCGCCACTGCCACCCAACTTTGGTGGCGGGACCTTATGTGATTCACAAGTCCAAGCCCCGGGACATAGGTTGCTGGTTGCCATCACTAAACAGCAGGTCTTCGTGACTATGGGGTCTGCCCCAAATGCTGTGTATCACATATTGGTGTGTTATAAAAAAAAGTACGGTTTCGTAGACACATCCCTGAAAGAGTAAAACTATTTTTGTACTTGTTGAAGTCAGATCTTTTTAGCCTTAGTTTCACTTATTCTTGAAAATCATAAAAAAGACGTGCTGACTTTCTGTATCATTAGATTTTTGATCGTCGATCTTTCACTCATTTACTCGGCTTGAGACTTGCACAGAAAGAAAACTTTCAATAATTACTGATATTTTCCCTCCACTGTGTGGAGCAGTTTCCGCATGTTCTGCACTGAGTTACTTCAAGAGGCTAATAACTTAGTTATTATTGTGTTCAACTGAAAAACATGTGCATTGGTGATTCGAGTGAAGTACGTTAAAGTGATCTATATGTGCTCTCCAAACATCTTTTTCTTTGCTTTTTATTAAGCACAAACATGGATAGAAGTCCAAATGCTTAATTATCAAAAGTAAGAGTGACGTTAAACGCTTGTTTCAAAGCCAGTTAGTTGGTCCCGTACTTGGCGGTGAAGTAAATATATGGAGAAAGGAAGGATACTGCACAATGAAACAATTATCACCAAATGAGAATACGGTAAAACTCCTACATATGGAGATAATCATTTGATAGAGGTTGTTTGCTGTGTCCATAGGTCTGATGAGTTAACAGTAAAAGTCAAAACCATGTACTCGAGTTTCTGTCAATAGAGTTTATAGGAATAACGAGATCTGGAAAAGGCCCACTATTTCGACCTGGGCAACTGGGTTGGACCACACCTACAATTTAACCGTAAACTTGCACTCCAACACATGCCTTCGATGTCTGTACTCACTCACGAAACCCGCTCCTCAAAAGCTGCATGGAGCACTTCCATCTACACCCGACCGCATCTCCGTTCACTTTGGCGGTACTGGAGGAGTGTACCACCACCCTTTACGGTACATTTTGAAGTTTATTGGTGGCAATATTTTTGCCAGGATTATCCACCATAATGCATTTATTGGTATTGGTCAGCCGACCGAAAAGGAAGCTGTTTGTGCTGCTAAAATATCGGTAAAGAATGTACAATCATGGTCACAAAAAGTTATTGTAAGTTCGCGCCGTGTAGACTGCCTCTAAGATCTACAGATTTCCAAAGGAAAGTGCGTAAAGTAGCCATAAATTAGACACCCGATTAGGTTGATTATGTTCACCAGACGGAGTTCAAAAGTTAAGACAACCAAGCAGTCCATCACAACACACGGGGGAGAATGTGCCAAAATCCACGGATATATTTTTCTCATTTCCTTAGTCTACTTTGACGGCAATAGCTCACTCCCCATCCGTTTTTAGCTTACACATCCGCTTTCTCTCGTTGCAAACTTAGTTTTCATCAGACTTTGGCCATTTTATAATCCAATCACAGTTAAATAGGATTTAAGTTAATTGTTATGGGGAAAGTGCTTCACAAAGTACCCTTTGGATTCAGACATGATATTATTATGTCTTACTATTATCATACCTAGAAATCCTATAAATTATACTTCATGCTAACTTTCAGATGGTGAGTACTCCACTGTCCTCAAACTCCCGGATGTATATGGTGTATTCAAGTTTGTAGTGGACTACTACCGTGTTGGCTATACGCATCTTATCAGCGTGAATCAGGTGAGCCTTCCGTCCATTTTGCCCGACTTTTCATATCTGTTAACATTTGATTTCTTAACTAATCCTCTTCTCTCTTGTTTCAGGTTCCCGTCAGACCTTTCACGCATACTCAGTACGAACGGTTTATTGAAGCTGCGTATCCCTACTACTTGAGTGCTATATCAATGCTCATTGGTGTAGTGCTGTTTAGTTTTGTGTTTCTCTACTACAAGGATGATAAAGAGAAGAGTGATTAAAGAGTTGTTTGTATACTACTAGTGATACTTTCTGGAATGCGTTTGTATCTTTGCTGTTCGGATCTTCTCAAAGTATTGTTCCAATTGATGACTTTCTTTTGTGTACCTAATCCCCAAAGTGTCCAGCTCTTGGTGTTTTATTTACAGTACGGGTTTTACATCATGTTTGTGAAAAAAATTGTTATTTGAAGGCGTGGAACTTGTCTTATGCCCATCGGTTTATCCGCTGCGCTCTGATATATGGTACAGACATGGTCGCCCGTTACTCACGAGTTACCATAGACATTCTGGGCGGAGTTTTAAGTAATGGAAATCGCCGGAAGCAAATTGTGGTCGGGGGACGGTTTAGTTTGGTCGGATTATAATCTAGCTTGCAGATGTGAAAACTTTTCTTGTGTAGGTCGCATTGGACTTTGTCGGAGACTTCGGAACTAGCCCGATCAATGCTTTGAGGTACTGCTTATATTAACTAGCGCCTCATGCACCTACTCGATTGTCGAAAAAATCTAGTTCAATTACCTCTATCCGGGTGCTGCTTTCTTCTGTCATCATGATCCGATTGAATGGGAAACCCAAATACAACAACCCCCCGTGAGGTCGCAGTTACATTGACGACACCTCAGTCTTGCCTTGATTGCACTAGTTAGACCATACCAAAGGTCAACAATCGCGTTGGATGGACCTGGGATAATTAAAATTTGGTTAAATGAGTCGAGTTTCCTCTCCGAATCAACAGTAACCATTCCGAATGAGTGACTTAGGTATAATCTTTTCGGCAGAGCGTATGATTTGACTCACTAAACACTAGCTGTTAAAGATTTCAGACCAGAAATATCGATGCACGGGTTTATGGGTTTTTCGACTAAAGGTTCAGTGTTAAGGTTTTCAATCCGCCTACTTTGTTGTGGGCGAGGAGTAGCACGAAAACTCAGCCCCATTGACCGTCGAAACGACCCCATCCAAAGGGTGTTATCTACAATGAACTGGGCACTAGTCCCCAATGGATTGCGGGTCATGTTTTGACTATCAGAGGACTCCTGTTGTGAACTGTAAGAAAATTCACATGATTAGACTGAGGCAACCTAGCGGTATCGTGCTCTCAACCAAATCATATGCCTTTTTCATGCAGATTGTCGCACCATGTTTGTTTGGCACACTGTTTGGATTCAGATTCAGAAAGACGGTTATCGGTACGCACACAAAAAGCTCGGTTGGCCAGCAAGTCTCATTGTAAGGAATTTTTATACCCTTATGGCAGGTCTTGGTTGACCTTTTTCTCTCCGCTGCCTGCTTTGGCAAACATCGCTCGCTATTTGACGACATGCCCCAACTGGCGAAGTCTGTGAAGCTCGACCAGTTGTTTCACTGGACGTCTGCACCTAACGTCAGCATTGCTTATCCGGTTTCTCCACCAAGCCCGAGCAGTGCGGTGTAGACAGCGATGTTCGAACACCAACAATCTATTTGTATCCTGTTTCCGTAATGGCCAAGTTTCAGCACCGTAGAACAGAACTGGTCTAACTGCTGTAGTATATACTCCACACTTCAAGAGACAGAAACCCAAACCGGTGTATGAAAATGCCTCGTTAATAGTTGTAAAAGTTAAAACTGACGACAAAGGGTAGTTTGCAATACAACAGGTTTCTGAAGAATGAAATGATACTTGATCTTGTTTTACACAGTAGGTGGATTAACGAAGTTAACAAGGGGACATGAATGAATTAAGGAAGAATGCAGTTAAGATTTCAATCGTCGGTTAGAACATTGCTAAATAAGGATTGCTGCTCCTGGGTGGATAAAACTATGGAGTCAGTGCTTGATTCACGGACAAAAGGATTTGCTATCCGTTGTCGCCCATCCATGGTAACGGAAGTTCTGGCAGTCGTTTGGCATCAGCCACTTCGCTGCACGTTAATTCAAGTGCAACAAGGATGCGAGTAATATGTATTCTCAAGGTTTTGGTCTGTTATGGGGCACCAAAAGATTATGATGTTAAACTATGGGTACGGCTGCCTATTTGCTTGTGGTTTTATGTTAAAAAATAATTGACGATTCGTGACAACGACCTGGCGTATACTCATCGAACTCTGTAATGATTCCAAAATGAAAACCAACAAACATCCCGTCGTGATCACTGATTGATCTATTGGATGTCCAAACTACGTGTGTCAGTTTCAAAATTGAACCTCAAAGTTTCAATCTACCACTTAAAAAGATGCTATGAATTCACGTTAGGGAAATATTTTCATTTAATGGTTCTACCCTTCCATCTCTAGGTACCACTAGGATCATTCGGTCAGTAAGATTCTCAGGTACCTTGATTTACAAACAGATGTATTTATATAGCTTAACTAGTTCAAAGTAAACCAAACAGGAAGGCAGTTGCCCTAGGATGGAGTATAATCGTTCAGTCCATTGGCTACACAACCACTTACTTATTATTGGCTTTCACGAGTCCGCCTGGGTAGAGTTCCACTAACGTTACTCGGGATGGTTCAGAAGTATGATGCCAAAGCAACAACAATGATCACCAAACTAACAGTTCCTGACAGGACAACAACTGATTTTTTGGTTTCACCTCAAACTTTGTCTTCGGTGGAGCACAGGATTTAAACGAATCGAAATTAAAACATAACTAAGTTATTTTCTGCACCATATCTGTCTCTGACTAACAACCAATCCTCACTTCTCGACAGGTCGCACCAACCGAGGCTAACTACATATCACAACTCTAGGTTGTGAACGTTTGCAGTCTGTACAAAGCCAACAGGAAGAAAATCAGCACCTAACCCATGGTGAAAACGTTGCCGTTGCCTACCCGACGTTCCCACCACATGTGCGCAATGTTTCAAAGGCACAAAAGGTTGATCAGCATCAGCGCGGAGAGGCCAGGTCTTGCAACCGTAAAGCAAAGCAGTACAGACCTGGGCGACGTCTCATCCTCAAGAGAAAGTCGGATGTGATTGGCGTCGGCTGGCAACAGATACTCTAGATTTTGCTAATCGTGATTTTATGTTCCTCAACACTATTTTCGGTCGCGATCAAGCTCCTGACTATTTCTAACTGATCATCACAAAGAGTGAGTACAAGCACCAAGCATGTGGATAGTGAGAAGAACATACTATATTTGGGGTCATAATCACTAAATAGTTAGAAACATACTGGACCGCGTGTTTATTTCCATCTTAACAGGAGAAACCAACGGTATCTTCCTGGACAAAGTTCTACTCCACCGTTTGCTAGAGCGGACGAAGCATTCCGTAGACTGTGGTAAAGGTTAGCCTTGCTGCATTCCACGGGAAGCCTAACCCAAACAGGGGTATGGCAATATAACCACTCAAGGATCAACGCGTGCTTATCAGGTAGTAAATTATGAAGACTAATAATACTTTGTTTCATTTATTTTCACAGAAAGCAAGGTAGTTGTGATGCAAGTAGGTGGTCTCAGTAGTCTTCGGGTGTCTAACTGGTAAATCAGTCAGCTTTGTACAAAGGGAAGAGGCACTTGAAAAATTACGGGCATTCCACGGGTCAACGTTTGTATACGGAGGTTCATCAATACTGACGTCTCAACCGAGAGCGGTTTACCAAATTTCCCTGCATTCCAGTGGCTAGTTCCCAAGCTTTACGGGCCTCTGCCGAGTGACGATCACTGACGCGCTCAACAGTTGTCAGTTGGGACCGACTGGCTACAACCAACGGTCCGATATGAGATGTTGAAACTGCTGAGGAGGTTTGATTGGAGCTGTTCAAAGCATAACGGTTGATTTGGGTGACATCGGTAGCGGGAGTGGAGAGGTGTTGACGATAGACAGTGCGCATGCTGCGATGACCGAGCACAGTACCAGAAGGAAGTCGGACTTCGTACACGTCTTGCTCTGCATCGGGCTATTAGGAAAATGTAAACGAAGAACAATGTTATTACGCTACCGCATTCACGAAAGTTAGAAATGCAATTGTGTGCAGTAAATGTACCTTAAACACTGTTTCCTAGATCTGATCGAACACATTACATTAGGATTGTGAGTTACTCAAACCGTGTAACATACCTCTAAAGAGATAAATTGTATGTAAGACCAAAGCAAGCGGAATAAGTTATCGATACCAGTCTAATCGATGCCGATATGACGGCTTCGCTGTCGCCTAAGTCAACCTTTTTCTCATTTATCCAATCCTGTTTACATGCTGTATGTTTTCCTTAATTAAACTATCATCGTTATCATTCATTCAGCCATTGATCAATCAAGTTATTCGGATAAAGCAACCCAAACACGAATATGCAGGTTGGACAGTTGAACACGTCGCAACAGATATGACCTGAGATCTGTACAAGGCTTCAACAGCATGTTAAGAACAAATTGCGGGTTATACTAGAAAAATGCGAACCAGACAGGTGTAACATGCTCATCATAACATTCAACAGATAGCGAATATCTGGTTACTACCCAGTAATGCAGATTACTTCATGTTGGTCGGAGGAGCAACTTATGCGTGTGCAGAAAGAGGCATAAAAATTAGGAATCAGCACAGCTGGGTGCTTAGGCTGTTAGTACAAGTCATTTGAAGTGCAGCAGATCCGACTGGCTGAATGTTTGGCGTGTGTGCAACGTTACAAGACCGATTTGGTTCAGCTCCTAACCTCACTTTAACCGAAGAAGCATTAAAGAAAGTAGACATCTTTTTCTATCTGAGCATCTAAATCTGGCCTAGTAGAATAAACTCTCTTTGTAAAACAAAGGTATTTATAGGCCTTTGTTTTATGATTTGTTTGGCACGGTGCATTCAGACGTGTGTGGAATACAACAACAATGTAACATCTATGATGCCGGCGCGATATGCAACCATTTATTAGGGGTCGAGTTCGGTCAATGCTGACTACTTGTTTTACATGACAGCAGTGGCAGATTTTATTCGATTAGGTGGTTAAGGTCGTTGTGTAGAGTACACAAAGGGTAAGTTACAAAGCTACGAGGCGCGGTACAGCTGTTTTGATCTTGATGGGTCTCATCGGATTTGGAATATTTCCGATCGAGCAAGAATCCTAGATTCTAGTGATGATCAAGGTGTTAACCGTAACAGGATTGTGAGGATGGGTTGTGCTATCGTACAGAAGCAAAGCTGAGCCAACCAATCAGCTGTTCCGGGGATCAAGTGGGTAGTATATATGCGTTCGAGTTATGTTTAGGGTCTGATTCTTAGTTGGGTTGGCGGATTCCCACTGTTCATGAGTTGCAGTAGAGTGCACTTCTCCCCAGCTATTTTGTTTTTCCCCGTCTGTACGACGAAAGTCCTGAGTGCACCGAATTTATTCCACTGCTCTTCCATTCGAAAATAAGGTTATTGAATTTCACCGGAAAACGATGAACTCCCTAATGCGAGACTAACCTGCAGGGTTCTAGAATAACTGGGCAGGAAATCAACTATGACAAACATTTCCAGCATTACTATTCCCCTCCCGCAGAAAACGTTAAAAAATGTAAGCAAATAGTAACACCGTGAATGTCCACGTAAAACGAAGGGATTCAAAGGAACTCACCAGTAAGAATGTTGGAGCCACAATTGACTGATCGTAAAAGCGACTGAACAGTTCGCCCCCAGCCAGAGCCGCCGATGGTGGAACTTCTGAGTTTTGCTCCTCACTCTCTGCAATCAACAGCGCAACTTGAACCGGATCACTTTCACCGCACCACAGTTGAATATGTCCAGGTTTATCTAACATGTGGTTACGAACAGCTTTCAAGGCTACACGAGTGTCCGAGTTTAGTGAAGTATCACCTTTGCGACCGTAAAACTGACGTCCGCAATAAATGCAAGCACGCTCCTCGCCTACAATCCGACCTAGTTCTTGCAAAAGTCCCGCTGGATCGACCAATTTTTCCGGATGAGGCACAATAAAGTTATGGGCGTCCAACATGTGTCCCAATACGCGCGTGGCAAGTGAACGGTTATCTTCATCCGAAGACCCCGAAACAGACCGACGTGGAAAGAATTTATCACAGAACAGGCAGGAGCCGAGAGCTAGCGCTTGGGGTTGAGTCATTTGTCCTTCCGAATCCGAGAGTTCCTCTTGAGGAACATCATTTGCACCTGGTCCTGAAGCGACTGCTACCACTTTTGATCCGTTTCTAAAAAAGAAAGAGATTTGACTGTGATTAAGATATTATGCGACAAGACAACTGACTGATGTTTGTCATGATTTTGGGTTATCGGTAGATAGAAGTCCTTCAGGCAACTGGGTTTGAATATTTTTCACCCTGAAGAAAGATAAGAGTATTAAGTGAGGTAAACATTCAAAAAGACAATGAGCTAAAGACCAATCAAACCGTACAGAACAGTGGATTCGGAATCATACAAGGCTACGAAAAATCCTCACTGCTGTTTGCCGAAATGAAGTCATACACGGAGCAGAAGAAACAGACCACTGTGGATAAAAAAGGCAGTGGATTAGAATGAATTTAGGCGAGCGACGACCAAGTGTGGTACGGTCGCTTAAGTCAAACAACTAAGAGATTTGACAGAAAGCCATAAACTTAGAGTTTATATCCCCAAGTAATAAATATTTTGATAAAAGCCCAAAGTATGCGATTACCACTCTGGTAGGTCAATATAGAGGAAAGATATCCCCAGTGCCTTTGGTATCGTAGTGGGTCAAGTCAAACTTTACGGCTGCAAG